ATTCACTGGGGATAGGGGGGCACAGGACCCCTGTGAATGTGGAAAAACCACAAATAATAAAAATACATTTTTCTTACCTGAGAGCACACCTCTCTAGGAATCTCTCTAGGTCCTCCAGCACAACTCTGTGGTCAACATCTGACTGACATTGACCATACAATTGCGCTGGAGGGGCAATACATGCCTAGTGGAGTGTTCTCTCTAGGAATCTCTAGGTCCTTTCAGTGTGACTTTTGGTTAAAGTTGACCATAGAGTTGCACTGGAGGACCTAGATATTCCTAGAGAGAACATACTGATACAATCTGTGAATAATCAAATGTGCAAAAGTTGAAGCTGCAGATGTGGAGGGACTAGTATACAGTGAGCCCTTGGTATCTGCTGGGGTTTAGGTCCAGGAGGGATGACCAGATGAACTAACTACAAAGGAGGACAAAGCACCACAAAACGAAGGATGTTCAAGAAAAACAGAGGCAAAATTGGAGGCATTACAAAATAAAAACTGAAAACACTCATAGAAATGTAAATTCATGAGTCTTACTCATGCTCATAATGGTGGACACTTTGGAATTCCTCCTGGACAGAAAGTTGGAATGTAGAACATGTCATAGAAAAGGAGGACATCTAGTCACCCTGTTCCAGGACCTGCCGTGGATACCAAAATCTGTGGATACTCAGGTCCCATCAAATACAATGGCATAGTAAAATGGTGTTCCTTATATAAAATGGCAAAATCAAGGTCTGTTTTTTGAAATGTTTATCTTTTTGGAATATTTTAAAGCCCTATATGGTTAAATCTGTGGATAAAGAATCTGTTGATAAGGAGAGTCAACTTTACAACTGAGCACTAAAGTGAGGATCATCCAAGCTATTGTATTCCCCATCGCCATGTACAGATGCGAGAGCTGGACAATGAAGAAAGCGGACGGAAGGAAAATCAACTCATTTGAAATGTGGTGCTGGAGAAGAGGGCTAAGGATACCGTGGGCATCCAAGAAGACAAATGTGTCCCAGAACATATCAAGCCTGAAACCCCTCTGGAAGCCAGGATGACTAAATTGAGGCTGTTGTACTTTGTCCACATCATGAGAAGAAATGAGTCATTAGAAAAGTCAATAATACTAGGAAAGGTGGAGAGGAGTAGAAAGAGAGGAAAACCATATGCCAGATGGATAGACTCAATCAGGGAGGACACAGGCATGAATCTGCAGGACCTGAGCAGAGCAGTGGAGTGTAGGCAGCTTGGAGGGCAGTTAACAACAATAACAGCAATCTCACTCTATTAGTGCCAGACCT